CCACCTTGTTACTTGGTTCTAGTAGCTATTGACAAAATCTCCACCTTGTTACTTGGTTCTAGTAGCTATTGACAAAACCTCCACCTTGCTCTTGACAACAATAAACTTCAGCTGCTCGCATGGTTCTAGTAGTCCTTGACAAGATAACTTCAGTTGCTTTCATGGTCCTAGTAGCTCTTGACAACAATAAACTTCAGCTGCTTGCATGATTCTAGTAGCTCTAGACAACAAGAAAACTTCAGCTGCTTGGATGGTTCTTCTAGCTCTTGACAACAAGAAAACACAGTCCGGCACGTTAATCACTAGGCCACGCTCCGTATCGTTTAACTCTGTCGATAAGCAAGGAAAGGTATGACTACATGTGGAGGAAAAAACGTGCGTCTCCCGACCGGCTACTGGTTGCACACCAGAGGTAGTGAAAAAAGTTAAACAGTTCTCACCGGAAGTAATCTTAGAATAGTACATTGCAGTGAATAATAAAGTTCTTTTAGAACTTAAAACATAATAATTCACAGGGATTTAGGTCTGCAAAGTAAGGAAAGAGTCATGTTCAGTTAGCACACAGCTCATCAGAACATGAACTGTTTAAATCTGTAAGAGTAGTATCAGATACGTGAGCTGTAAGAGTTCTATCAGACACGGGACAAATGAAAGTATGTAGTCACAAAATGAAACACATGTCTACTAAAGTGTCTTTTATTCTCCTACTGTTGATACAACATTTTAAAAACGATGAGACACTTGTCTACTTAAGTCTTTTGTCTTCCTACTGTTGATATAACATTTTAAAAACGATGAGACACTTGTCTACTTAACTCTTTTGTTTTCCTACTGTTGATACAACATTTTAAAAACGATGAGACACTTGTCTACTTAAGTCTTTTGTCTTCCTACTGTTGATATAACATTTTAAAAACGATGAGACACTTGTCTACTTAACTTAAGTAGACAAGTGTTTCATTGTTTTTAAAATGTTATATCAACAGTAGGAAGACAAAAGACTTAAGTAGACAAGTGTCTCATCGTTTTTAAAATGTTGTATCAACAGTAGGAAGACAAAAGACATTTTTGTCTTCCTACTGTTGATATAACATTTTAAAAACGATGAGACACTTGTCTACTTAAGTCTTTTGTCTTCCTACTGTTGATACAACATTTTAAAAACGATGAGACACTTGTCTACTTAAGTCTTTTGTCTTCCTACTGTTCATACAACATTTTAAAAGCGATGAGACACTTGTCTACTTAAGTCTTTTTTTTCCTACTGTTGATATAACATTTTAAAAACGATGAGACACTTGTCTACTGAAGTATTTTGTCTTCCTACTGTTGATACACATTTTAAAAACGATAAGACACTTTCTACTTAAGTCTTTTGTTTTCCTATTGTTGATATAACATTTTAAAAACGATGAGACACTTGTCTACTTAAGTCTTTTGTTTTCCTACTGTTGATACAATATTCTAAAAACAAGGAAACACTTGTATACTTAAGTGTCTTTTATCTTCCTACTGATATTTATTGATTGATTTTCGTTGTTTGAATTTCGTTGATTGATATTCGTTGATTGATATTCGTTGATTGATGTTCGTTGATTGATATTCGTTGATTGATATTCGTTGATTGACATTTATTGATTGAGATTTGTTGATTGACATTCGTTGATTGATATTCGTTGATTGACATTTATTGATTGATATTCGTTGAGACATTTATTGATTGAGATTTGTTGATTGACATTCGTTGATTGATATTCGTTGATTGATATTTGTTGATTGACATTTATTGATTTATATTCGTTGAATGACATTTATTGATTGAGATTTGTTGATTGACATTCGTTGATTGATATTCGTTGATTGACATTTATTGATTGATATTCGTTGTAAGTTTCTGCCATAATTATAAGATAAACTTCCAGAGAACTCTGCATACAATCGGGTTAATTTCTGACAACGTTAAACCGCGAGGAAACACCATATTATATAGACTGAATGCCAATAAAGCGAGACAAAGCGCCCAGCCTCTCGTTCTCGTCAACACACCGGTTTCTCCGCAAGATGTAAACACAAACAAAAATTCATGCTATACTTTTCGCAGACATTACCCATGGACTTCTCGCCCTATGAATTGCTGAAAGAATCTCCGGATGTTGACGGACTTTAATAGTCATGTGAAGAAGATGCGGTCAACATTGACTTCAGTGTTGTGCACAAAAGCCACCTGGTGTTTAAGTTGCACCACTGAGCACCAGTCCAAAATCAGGACTGTCACGCAGTACACCACCGGTGTTGAAAGGAAGGGTCTGTAAGGCCTAGGCACTTACCCTCGTCTTGTTACCATAGGCCAAGAACAACCCTCTGTAGTATATTCTGTACCTTAGATTGAGTGAAAGACTCATTACAGAACAGAAATTGTTACTAAGAAATAACTGAGTAGCTTGAAAACATTAGATGTATTCTTACACCTTGTCTCCAGTAAATAAACTATTAATTAATCATTTGATTTGTAACGCCCTCTGTATTCATTTCAATAAGCTCTATCGTAACCGATTCTCGCAACGAATGATACTTAAAAGTCATGTTTTACGTTGTTGAAACAACTAATCTGCCGGTAGAGGGAGACTGCTCGACGTATGGCACTTATCGGCACGTTAGTCCATACCTGAAGCTTTATCTAATCCGCGGGATTACCAGGGTACATCGTTTCAACCTGCATCATTTTCCCCAATCCCACAGCTACGATCTTATTTCCAGAGATATCGGTTTCGTTCAACCAATTGAAGAGCATATTTATCAGCACGTGGCAGTGATGGACGAAACAAACTGTGGTCATAAGTCATTTCTGGGACGTACTTGTCTCTCTATTCATATCATGTCTTCGTTCTACTTTCCATACAAAACACTCGTTACATTCATCAGGTATTCTATTTATTTATTGCGTGAACAGTACGGAGAAATACTAATTCAGACAGAAATCCGGTTTAAACCAATAAGAAACTAGGAAGCTTTCAAGTTTTTCTCTCTCTTACTACGGTGTTATACTAACCTGTATGACACAATTACTTCAAAGGCTGGCTACGATTTATCATTCAAATCGCATAAGATCTGTAACAAAATGAAACCTGTATCAGCGCCCTCTACACGTAGAAACCTCATTAATTCTTACACTCCGCCCTTTTTACCTTAATCCCCGATAACATGTGTAAAATATGCTGCTTATTGCAGTTGGGTTTGTTTGAGTTAAGCTGTTTATGAGCTAAAAAATATGTGTACAGCTAACAGAAAAACTCTTCGTTATAACTTTGTGTTTCCCCTAAAATTAAAAGATGAGTAAATGGGAGGGGATGTACTGTTGGAATATAGCATTTTTTTCTTTTCATTAGCATGTGACTTCGGTCACTGCTGTTTCAACACAGATATCTGTATACAGATACGCAGACACTAAAAGTGGGTAAGTAGTGAGACTAAAAGTAACAAACTAAGGATAACCAACAGGAGCAAACTAAGGGTATGATGGTGGAAATAAAAAGGGCCAAACCAAGGATATGCTGATGTAAACCAAAAGGGCCAAACTAAGGGTATGATGGTGGAAATAAAAAGGGCCAAACTAAGGACATGCTGGTGTAAACCAAAAAGGCCAAACTTAAGATATGCTGGTGTAAACCAAAAGGGCCAAACTAAGGATATGATGGTGGAAATAAAAAGGGCCAAACTAAGGATATGCTGATGTAAACCAAAAAGGCCAAACTAAGGATATGATGGTGTAAACCAATAGGGCCAAACTAAGGATATGCTGGTGTAAACCAAAAGGGCCAAACTAAGGATATGCTGGTGTAAACCAAAAGGGCCAAACTAAGGATATGATGGTGTAAACCAATAGGGCCAAACTAAGGATATGGTGGTGTAAACCAATAGGGCCAAACTAAGGATATGGTGGTGTAAACCAATAGGGCCAAATCAAGGATATGCTGGTGTAAACCAAAAGGGCCAAACGAAAGATATGCTGGTGTAAACCAAAAGGGCCAAACTAAGGATATGCTGGTGGAAGCTACAATTTACAGAGGTAGCTGTTAAATTGAACAGATGATAATTTACTGACACAATACTCAAGAATAAAACCATCATGTTATCATCCGGGTATTCTGCAAGGTATTTCCAAAGTCCAGAAGAAAGGTTTCTCTGTTAGACAAACTGTTTCACATTTAATCACGTATGTGTTGGTTTCTTCAGAAAATACTTTGTTATAATGAAATGCAAGATTTAAGGTTTGATAAGAATGTGTAGTATCCAAGGTTTAATTCTCTCTCTAACCAACATTCCTTTAGAACGTATCTATGTTTTCCAGCAGTTGTTGAAGTTGGTGGAGTAGCGATGGGTTCGAGATTAGCATCGTCACGTGCCAACTTGTTTCTGTGTTGCCCTGAGAAACAATGGCTGAAGGACGGCCATTGATGTTTTAACCCTAAATACTGTCGCAGGTATGTTGATTTATACTTTTGTCAGTTATGACGACTCTGCAAGTGAACACGTAAATCTGTTCTCGACATTTTTAAATGGAATCACTGCTTTTTTTTTTTTAGATACATTAGTTATAATTATGAAGGAAAGGTTTAACGTATCATAAAAAGTGTTAGGATCTTCATTTATCTTCAAAATATCACCAGCAGGTGTCGGGAGTTTATTTAGGAATATATCAAAGGCAACATCATGTTTAGTACATTATCTTAAAACCGGTTTCGGAGCCTCGCCAGGTTGTTACAGTCACCATGTTCGGTCATGCTCTATCTGACGACCGTGCATCTTGACAATAACCTGGTAGCTTAATTTCTATTACAAAACACTCTGTTGTTAAAGGGCCCGGCATGGCCAGGTGGATAAGGCG